TATGTCATGATAAGGCTTTATCTTTTTGAATATATCCGATGAGATTTTTGTTCGATATGCTACATCGAAGTGAACCGAATCGGTTATTGATTCTAGTGATCTGAGTTGTATTTTGATCTGATAGGTTTTAACTGGTAGCCTGCTAGAAGACGTCAGATTTCATCGTGTCTGCACCCAATTCCCCCTCCCCTCCACTCCCCTTGTACCCATACCCCTCGAACGTTCTGGCATCCTTAAAAAATCTGTGGAACGGTGTTACTTAAAACGAATGGTGTCTTGGGTTTTAGAGTCTGTAGGTTCCCGCTGAAAAGTAAATTGTTGCTTAGACCGAATTTTGTCTTTGGCTTTAGAGTTTGGGTCCCACTGGCAATTGAAGTGTTGCTTAGACCGAATAGTGTCTTGGGTTTTAGAGTCTGCAGGTTTCCGCTGACAAGACCGAATGGTTTCTTGGGTTTTAGAGCCTGGTTCCCACTGACAAGTAGAGTGTTACCTAGATCGAATAGTGTTTTGGGTTTTAGGGTCTGGTTCCCATTGACAGTGTTATGTAGACCGAATGCTGTCTTGGGTTTTAGAGTCTGCAGGTTCCCGCTGAAAAGTAAAGTGTTACCTAGACCGAATGCTGACTTGGGTTTTTGAGTCTGGTTCCCACTGACAAGTAGACCGAATGGTGTCTTGGAGGTTCCCTTTGAGAAGTAAATAATGCGAAAAAGCTACATCCACCAGTTCACACATTGGCGTGCAGATAAACAACCGGGAGTTTAAAACTTTAACGATAAAATGGATAATCGAGACTTAGAGAGAGAGAAATGGGGTTTAACGTCCACTCGACACAAACTAGGTCATTTCGGAACTAACACATGGTTTAAGTTTATTTGAACAATTCGCTTGCGCGTAGGGGTCTTTAGCAGTGGGAGGAAACCGGAGGACCCGGCGAAAACCCACGAGGTTGGACAGGCGACTCTACTCCTTGTCGCGTGCAGATAAACAACCGGGAGTTTAAAACTTTAACGATAAAATGGATAATCGAGACTTAGAGAGAGAGAGAGAAATGGGGTTTAACGTCCACTCGACACAAACTAGGTCATTTCGGAACTAACACATGGTTTAATTTTATTTGAACAATTCGCTTGCGCGTAGGGGTCTTTAGCAGTGGGAGGAAACCGGAGGACCCGGCGAAAACCCACGAGGTTGGACAGGCGACCCTACTCCTTGTCGCGTGCAGATAAACAACCGGGAGTTTAAAACTTTAACGATAAAATGGATAATCGAGACTTAGAGAGAGAGAGAGAAATGGGGTTTAACGTCCACTCGACACAAACTAGGTCATTTCGGAACTAACACATGGTTTAATTTTATTTGAACAATTCGCTTGCGCGTAGGGGTCTTTAGCAGTGGCAGGAAACCGGAGGACCCGGAGAAAACCCAAGAGGTTGGACATGCGACACTACTCCTTGTCGCGTGCAGATAAACAACCGGGAGTTTAAAACTTTAACGATAAAATGGATAATCGAGACTTAGAGAGAGAGAGAGAGAAATGGGGTTTAACGTCCACTCGACAATAATTTTCAGTTCAAAATTTTGAGTGGATCGAAAATGACAGCCAAATTTGCTTATTGGTTTTACGAATGACTTCTAGTCGACTGTATCTCAATTGCTTCTGTATATAAGTCTCTGGATATATGGTATCAGACCATAAATCCTATAATTGGCCAGCTTGCTCGCTTGCTAACTCCGAATTTCCGATAAATAAGAAGGTTGGGCCAAAATTATGAAGCTTGTTTATCAAGAATTTTTTTCCGTTCTTGCGTTTGTCAGAATTTTTATCGACTGGTTTGCCCAACCTTGTAAACAATTAGTAAGGGAGCTAGATTCAGGTTGTTTCAAAAATCGCGTACAAAATTTCTACTTTGCTAGATGAGTGGACAGCGGTGCCCGTTACTCTGAACCTTAATTCTTAAGTAGCGGGTCCCCTTCTCATGGGGGTGGGGTCCGACAAAACGTCGAAATTTCGAGTTTAATTCGACTTTTGCGTACAACAACCAACTTTTGTGCGTAAGTGGACCAACTTCAGATGTCATTCGATTTCTGCGTACATTATTATTATTATTATTTATTATTTTTTTTGGTTAAAAGTGTCACTTTTGGTCCACTAGAACATAACACTAACTTGAGAACGCGAAATCCCCTTCTATGTCAGATAAGAATGACAAAACGGGGGGGGGGGGGGTTAAAAGACCAAAAATGAAATTTAATTCGACTTTTGAGTACAACGACCAACTTTCGTGCAAACGTCGACCAACCTCAGACGTCATCAAAAACACTTCTTAAGAAGGCCCCCGAACCTTCCTTCTAAGACCCAACCCCCGCCTCCCCCCGAGCTGAGTTAATGTGTCTGCCGCGTACAACATTAATTTTTCCGTTAAAAGTTCCACTGTTGGTATTGGTTCACTAGAACATAACACTAGCTTAAGAACGCGAAATCCCCTTCTATCCCAGCTGTCATCAAAAACACAGCTCAAGAAGGCCACCGACACTTCCTTCTAAGACCCCCCACCCACCAGAGATGAGTTAATTCGACTTCCGCGTGCAACATTAAATTTTTGGGCTACAATGTACATTTAGCTAACCACAGTATAACACCCATGTAACTTTATTAATATATCAGAACCCCTAGACTTATGATTCTTAAACTGTTTTCATTATGTGAATAAATTCGTATGGTTTCAATATATTTCTATAAATATTTTATTTAATCTTTTTGATTATATATATAGCTATCAACGTATATGTAACTAAATTACCATATCACACAACCATCAAATTTATATTTCATAACTGAGGATAAATGTATGTTTTCAATGTATCTCTATAAATACTTTATTTGATCTTTTTGATTGTATATTTAGCTAATCGCATTATATACGACTGTTCCGCTGTTTCGTCCATAGCTTGCGACAACTACTCATGTTCACTGTTCTTGCATTCCATTGAATAGTTTGCATTGATGCCTGTATATATATGTTCATATTTTCTCATTCTATTTTACCTATGTGTGCATGTATGCTTGATGACGACTTGTCAAATCTTGTTGAAACATCGCAGTGTAATATACTATAGTAATTGCTATTCCATAAAGTGTGTTGCGTGATTTTGTCCTAATTGCGAAATAAATGTCATTCAAAGAATATAAATATAAACGCATAGCATACAATGTTGAATGCTGAAATGTTGGGTAACCACCCACACAAAATTTCGTAGCAAACGGTTCTGGGTCATAAGCTAAATTAGTTCAGCCCTGAACGTAAGTCTCATTACACTCACCCTGTACGTTCAGGGACTCTTCTATTGAACCCTTGTCGACAAAATTTGACTTCATTGAAAGGGTAACGTAAGTTCGTAAATTTGTGCGTTACCCTTTCAATGAAGTCAGTCATGGCCGTAAGAAGAGTGGGACGTATTTTTTTAACAGCGTGTTGTGTCGCTCATACTGGTTCTAGCGAGGTAAGCAATGTCTTGTTTTCTCACTAAGATGTCCAGTTACATTGTTCAGGTGCTCACAGGGACTGACACGCGACCGTTTAGCCAAATTTTGTCGACAAGGATTCAATAGAAGAGTCCCTGAACGTACAGGGTGAGTGTAATGAGACCTACGTTCAGAGCTGAACTAAAGCTAAATCAACCCTCAGCTATAAAATACTCATGCAACTTGTACTTCCTTCTTATTTGAGATAGAGGGGATTTCGCGTTCTTAAGTTACTGTTATGTTCTAGTGGACTAATTGTGAAACAGTTAACGAAAAAATTAATATTGTACGTGGAATTTGAATTAACTCATCCCTGAGAGGGGAGGGGGTGGTAAAGGGGGCGTTCTTGAGGGATAAAGGATCGATCGGGAATCTTCTTAAGTATAAAGTTGTTGAAGGCAGATAGGATGATATTAATTTTGTAGCCTGAAGATGACTTCAATCGTCAGTTTTGGTCATTTCACCCTTTTCACCCATCGATAGTTTTCTGTGTGCAGAAAGTACAAGAAATATGTGTTAATCTAAACAGTCGGTAGAACTGACTATTAACTAGTAAATGCGACAAACATCCATTGGCATTGGAGAATTTCAATACAAGCGACAACTTTTTAAAATTTGTTGTACTGATAAAACTTGTCTTTGTCAATTTAGCTTTTAACGAGAAATTTGAACATATTTGCAAGTTACAACATGACTACATCATGAACTCTAAAATATCAAAAATCATAACATCGGTGCAAATATACAATTTAGCGGCAATGGATATAGTTAGAAACTCTTTTGTGGTCATATACATTAGTATTATATACTGATTAGTTGAAAATCAAATATAAGAATCTGATGAACAACTTGCTTATCTGGTGTGTTATTATTGGGATTAGCAATGGCTTAAGTGTTATACGAGTTAATTTTCGTTTGGAAATATTAAGCGAAAATCTGGTTGTTACAGATTTTAGGTTGGCTTAACCTGTCGACTGTTGAATAGAAAATCAGTATTCTCATTTGGTTTATTGTTAAAAATATTTAATGTACACAAAAACAAATAAGCGTATCAGATTTAATCAAATCGACAGTTTTTATGCTTTTTTAATCTGATCAAGATTTAGTTATTTTAAATAATTTCTTTTAATTGGGTAGCCATATTAGTTGCGGTAGGAATAGTAAGTAACTTAATAGAGGAATAATTAGATAAATATAATAGATTGTAAATGTATTAATATTGGTTAAATAGGTTTTTTTAAAATGATATATGTAAGACAGATTTACAAAAAGATGAAACTAGTTCAATGTATGTCTTTTAACTCATATGTCGGTCATAAAAACAAAAGCTGAAACATGATGACTTAACTTGTAAAAACAAATCATCTTGCATGTAGCTTGAAAATAAAATGCGCTATTAGAATCTCCCAATTTTAAGATATCACAGAATGTTATGGGTTTATCCTTGGCCTATAATGAAAAAAAAATGTAGACCTACCTGTATAGTATAAAGTAATTAAGCTATATAATAATCAGCGATTATGCTTCATACCGTTATTCACTAAAACAATGTATAATTCACCACACGTGTGTTGTATATTACATGTATATATCACTGGAAGCAAGCACGCAGCTCATCCCATCATCATCCATTACACGCGATGAAATACAAGACACCGTACAATGCATTCTCATTAGTCACATCTATTTAATGCAATTCAAGTCTTAAAGAGAATATCAGCCAATACACTCTATATAATATTCAAATATCCATAAATCCTTGATCTATAACTACGTGACTCGACAAGATTACCGAACGGACTATATAAATGATCTAAAGAAATGGACTTCGGGTCAGGGCATCAAGCAAATAGTCCATGAATTGAAACTGGGTGTTCTCGTGAAACAGTAAACACCCACGATCGCTACATGATCGCACCGCTGACCTTAGCTATATAAATACCTCCGACAACCCTTGATTTCCTCTGGAAATTAGAAACAACCCATCTATGACGCGTGCTTTCTCTTCAGCACACTTGTATGACAACTGGCCGTCCGATGAATTGGGCCATGTTTACACGGATGGATCACACGAAATGAAATGAAATGGGGTTTAACGTCCTACTGTTCTGCTCCTATGCTGGGCTAATGAAGACCGGCATACGCCATACAGTGTGCTATGAGGGAAATTTTGCCCGGGCAGCGGCACTATCGCCTACTCTTATATCGAATTCCAACTGCCAAGGGATCTTTTACGTGCATTCTAATGTATACACGGGACCACGGTTTTTCGTCTCATCCGAAGGAATAGATAGCTGTCCTTGTCAGGCCCTCCGTCATGCAACACTGACAAGGGGAACCACGCCGGAAAATCTGGATGAACTTTCTCGGCCAATGCAGGGATCGAACAGCCGACTTACAGGCTAGCGAGCCAGCGTCTTACCCACTTAGCTACGGATCACACGAACCTGAAAGTTGGACGAAATCGTTCGGAACATAACTACCCAAAGAGGAACGCGGAATAGGCAAGAAACTGGCCAATAACTGTTCGGTGGCTATCCTTCACGTAATATCATGAATTTCCGATCAAAAGACGACAAAGTTTGTCCAATCGAGTGACTCACTGAACTGCCTGACTTCGGTCCAAAATAATAACACGGACTGAAGAAATCCGGCAACTAGAGAAAGGAAGCATACTAAAGCTATGGGTCCTAGCACAAGTGGAATCCGCAATGCCAACTGCCGTATCTCTGAATTCAACAGTATGATTAAAAGACAGATCAGTTCAAAATGGGAATTAACCCTCGATGAACTTGCTACATAGATATTTCAGCTAGATGACAAGATCAACTACCAATCAACCTAGAAGATATATATATATATATATATATATATATATATATATATTATATATATATGTGTGTGTGTGTGTGTGTAAACTTGTATCGAAACTGTATCAAGTTATCCTATACGAATGCGGAGAGGAATGCACCACCAGAAGTTTGAACTCTGAACTTTATTACAAGTCAATGCAAGTCAAGTGATGTAGCCAAGCCAACACTGGTACATTGAATATAAATACGCAAAGCATGATTATTGCACAACAGATACGGGTATTAGAATAAAAAGAACATAATTATACTAACACAAAAGACTGTATTTGTAAAGGTGAAATGATTTAGTGAGGATGGTGAAGATTAACAACATACCTCTAAACACTACATACTCTTGCAGAAATGGTCCACGACCTGAGATAAATCGGACTAAGTGGAATGTTGAAGTAAGGGTGGTTGCCTCGACTAGACGCACAGACAACTAAATACTACCCCACCAACACCATGAAAATGGATACACGGAATAGAAATGATTTTTAATCTAACAGAAAACACCTACCAATTTTCTTTATGAGATCCACCACCAATTGGAAGAACCCGATTAGCTGAGCCCATTCTCACTAAACCAGTCCATGGAAATATTCTAATAGGAACAAGTTTATTGTCCGTTGTAACACTACTGTGCAGTAAGGCGTTAAACCACCAACTAAAACGGCCAAACCCAAAATGTAGGGAATGCTATCTCCCATTAAGATATAGGACTACATAACCCCTAATGCAATCATTACACAATACGAGGGCAATAGAATGTTGTTTACTAGTAAAAGGTGAACAATGATCCACTACCAAATGCTGCTATGCTTTTTTTATTAATAGAGGAAAGAACTTCCCACTAAACCAAACCACAGCTAGATGCAGCAAAAGAGAAGATTGCAAAATCATATTTTAATATACTGAAGAAAGGTTCGGTTCTCCTATATGTCTTGTCGTCTGTGATATCATCTCATACTGAAGAAAGCTTCTGTTCTCCTATATGTCTGGTCGTCTTTGATATCATTTTTGTGGAAGCGGACGTTAAAGAACTAAGGTATTACAACTACAAAGTTAGATATCGGCCGTCTATTGCAGGAAAATAAAAGGTTCTATGAAATTGTAACATGGACGGGAAATCTTCCTTTGTTCTTCTATTTGAATAAGCAGATTGTTTTCCCTCTAGTAGATTGGGTGGAGCTTAACCGTGCAATAACTAGACATGTTAAATGTTATTGCACTCTTTTGTTGGTTTACACTAGTTTTAGTAGAAATCACTTAGAGAAGTGGGGTGGGGTTTCTGTGCAATAACAACAAGCATGTTGAGCAGGTGTCAATGTTACAAGTCATTTATAGCACGCCTCATTCGCTGTTTTATCTTTATCATTCCATTTGTAGTCAGGTAATGTTGATTGATATGTGCTTATATATAACCTTTATGTTTATTAGAACAGTTTATAGAGCGGGATAATAGTTCCTAAAAGCTTTCCATATAACAAAAAAATGTATTAATGTATAAAATGGTTTTAATCAACGTGATTGTTAGAGTATATCTCAAAGCCAGAAAATGCCAGATAAAAAATCTGAAAGGCACAAAGGCTTTTTGATTTAGGTTAGGTCCTGATGTTAAATTTCCATTAGTGAAGTGACAAACTCAGTACAATTACATTTTCGATTCGAAATATTAAGCTGATGTCGGTTTGTTAATGCTAGGTTCCCACTATCAGAATTCGCGCTGCGATTGAATTCGTGGTTTTAATCGTGGAGTAATCGTGGTGATCATATCGAAACGTACCAGATCGTGGACCAATAGGGACAGTCCTATCTTAACGCATTACACGACAGTGGAAACCTAGCAAAACTATATAGTTTTAGTTCCTGCTTTGGTCTGCTGTGTTGAAATCGGGTATATCTTAACACTGGATTTACTTAGAGACGTAAACCTCATGTTCATTTAAAGTTTACATGGCTTCTATTGATTTCACACTGCCTATTTGTGTGTATAATAATAATTCTGCTATCGTTTTCGTTTAAACAGGCATCATGCGAGAGCTAAATCTGCCTATTTAGATCTTTCTGTATGCCTTAAAGGTTATATAAATTATTAATTAGACATCAATAATTAACTTACCAAGACCAAAATAAACTCTCGATGCCATCGGATACATACATGTATTTAAATACGAGTTGCGGTTAATGATTTAATGTAAAAATGGATAATCGACAATTTGTTTAATAGAGCGCAAGTATTGACAGGAACGCAAATCATTGTGATATAACCATATACATGTATGTTAAGTTTCGTCGAAATCGGATAAAAATTGTGACCTCTAGAGGGTCAAAAACCTTGATATTACATACTTCTACACTATTTGCGTACCGGGAGCGGACAGTTTTGGTGCGATTTTCACGAAATTTAAACTCAACAGTCATTAGGATGTAAAGGTGATATGTTTAGACGGTTTTTAAAATCTAGAGGGCTCACAAGCAAAAAGGGCGGTTTTTCGTCCAATCAGGGGACATAATCCAGGAAGTTACAGTCCGATATGTGCGAATATCGAAAGAAACCGAGATCATGTGGTATTAAATATACATTTTAAGTTTCATTAAAATCGAATAACAATTGGAACCTCTAGAGGACGCGCCAACTTGATATTACAAACTTTTACACTATTTTCGACCATTTTATCGGACATTTTGTGGTCGATTTTCACGAAATTAGAACTCAACCGGCATTATTGTGTAACGTTGGTATATTTAAATGTTTTTTCTTTAAAATCGGATAAAATAGTGACCCCTAGAGGATCCACAAGCAAAAAGGCGAAATTTCGTACAGACAGGGGCCATGATTAATCCAGAAAGTTGCAGTCAGATATTATGTGACAGTCACGTAGGGAACCAAATAGATACGTAACTGATGTTTTTTTCGCTCATATCCCATGTACAAAGGAACCAAATCGAATCGAACCGCGTAACTAGTGAAAACGTGACACTGAGTTTGTACTAAAACTAATGATCATATAGAGAACATCTATATAGCCAATACATAAATACACATTAAGAAGACCAACGATAAGTCTTAAAAGCTATTCCATTATATGATTCTATTGCGTGATATCTCATCCATATTCTAGCACCCGGATACGAAATGAAGTTAGCAAACATATTCCTATTATTTAAGCTGGGGTTTTATCAAATAGCTGAAAATTTGAACCGTGGAGAGGTTCGCGAAGTGTTTCAGTTTACATTGCAGATGACTCCCAACTTCAATATCAGTGCTAGGCTTTCCCTAGTTCGCAAATTGAGTAGTTTCAAAATTGACAGCATAAAACCAACTTTAGATTACTGAATCGAAAAAATTATCAGAAAAAAAACCAAAAACATGGCGCTGGGAAAAAAATGTGTTGACAAGGACTTGTCTGGAATCTAATATACACTAATACAATCTTGTGTAATATTTTCTATTTTTTTCAACACATATGTTTAAAAATATAAATGTATCGACGGCAAAATTATGTTGATTGGGGTTGGGCTTTCGATAAGGACTAAAAATCTGCAAAATCTTAACAATTCACATACTCGGTGTCCCCAGTGGTCTCATTCCGTTCTACTCCATCATACCCTGGGTTTTTTCATGGGGTATTCACGTATTCAAATTATCCGAACTTGATCATAGCTTGATTCTTCGATCCAATCAAAAACAGTTTACAAAAGAGTCTTAGCCTTAGTTACTTCCCTTCGCCAACCTCCTTTCTATTTAACGATTTATTTGATTGGTCGATAAAAATAGCACAGTCATCAAG